TACATACATATTTCATATGGTTATGATCTGTCTTTGTTATCACCTAATTCAATCCATAAAATATAATGAGGTTAAAGGAAAGTTGGCAGTCTTTGCACTATTGGGTATGTTATGTTCTCCTTATTTTTACTCATTTCAGGTTTAATAAGTTATGTTAAGTTCAGATAAGTTCAGTTTAGGAAAAATAAGTTTTGATAAGCGATGGCCAAGTTTAAATTATAACTAAAATAAGTTTTAATAAGGTCTAATAAGTTTAGATAAGTTCAGTTAAGTTTAGATAAAATCAGATAAGTAAAAATCAAGTAAATAGAACACACTCTAGTAAGTCTAGCGAAAGAGAGACTTCCTACGTGCTTTGACCAAAGCACCACACTCATAACCTTATTACAAAATTTTCTTTTCCACAAGGGTTATATCATTATCTATACATTAATGAACCATATCGTTATCTATACATTTATGAGTGGTTAGACCAAATGTGTAGTAATGTTACTTGATTGGCATGACTAAAAGTTTTTAGAAAATATTTCTTTCTTATTGTAGCTCACAATCGTCAAATACTTCTTACAAAAAGTCATGTATTTTTCTTCTAGTCTAGTGGAGTGTCAAAATTTCCCACTATATTAGTGCTATACTTATACTACTATATGCTTCTCTTTAGACCACATCACCTAATTTGATAATATCAATATAACATGCAAAAATTTCAACAATCATACAATTTTTTAATGTTGTAATTTGGGCTGTGCCGGTTAATAAATTAAGTTGCTGGTTTAATTTTATTCCTTTTACTTGTGATTCAGCAGTTATATATATGAGCACATTTTTTGTCAATAAAAATCTCTTATCTTCAACGTTTTTGATCTTGTAGTAGACTGATCATGAGCCCACTTTTTATTTTAATTTTTAGTCTTTTTGACCCAACAACTCATTTCACGTTTTTTTTTGTGTTTCTTTTTATATCGATTAGAAATTTTGTTAAAATAAAAGATTTGGGTAAGTCCAGAATTAAAAAGTTATAAGTACGGCAAAAAATTATTAAAATATTTTAAAATGTACGTGTCAACATCTAACTAATCAGTGTCAATTTACACAATCCTATTATTATCACTTCATACGAGTACTTCGTATGATATAGTCTTAGGTCTCATTCTCTTAACCATATTTTTGTTGAACTGAAATTATTTTTATTGACATAAAATTATTTGTACTGAATTAAAATTAATTTTATTAATTAAAATTTATTTCTAATTTTCTATTATTGATTTTCTATTATATTAATTCTACAAAGTTACTAATTTTTACTAATTAAAATTAATTTTTAATAAACTTAAATAACTTATAGTGGTATGAAACTATTTTATTGAATATTATTTGAGTAAAGTAAAGATGGAGAACAAGCCTTACAAAATTAATCAAAACCTCCATCTTTTTGTGGGAATCAATAATTTAACTATTTGTTTCCTCAAGGTATCACAATCTGACAATCTTGACATACCTCGATCGATGAATACTTAAAAAAAAACCCCAATGATCTTTTTCTCTATATTAATTTTTACACCATTTATATACTTTTAAAAAATGTGTGATGCGGCCTTATTTCAAACTATAGTTCCCTTTGTCTTTTTTTATGATGTACACAAAAAGTGGGTTGTTAAACCCAAATTTGAATTTTCCTCCTAATCATCCCTATATAAAATCAACGTACAATATTTATCTTTATGTACAACCCCACTATATTATAAGCATAATTCTCTCCCTCATAATATTCTCTTATTCTTCTTAGTACAATAGATAGCAGCCATGTCTTTCTCAAATAATTATTCCGTTGATTTACAATTTGACCTTGATGAAGCACTTGCATGCTCTTCCACTACCATGACCACCAAACCACCATCGTCGTCGTCGTTGTCGTCGCCATCGAGTAGTAGTAATAGTAACGATGTCTACAAGGCAGTATATATGGAGTTGCCAATGGTTAGTGTGGATGTTGATTCGGTGTGTTGCGTTTGTATGGAAGGCTTCCAATCCCCTCATAATAATGAAGGTGTTGCTAAACAACTCCCGTGTCGACACGTGTATCATCCTGATTGTATTCTCTCTTGGTTATCTTCTTCTCATCACTCTTGCCCTCTTTGCCGCCATGTCATTCAACTCCATGATCATGATCAACCTACACAAGCTGCTAATTAATTGTTTTATTTCCTATTTTTATCGAGTTATATTGGTTTCTCTCTTTATTTTCCGTTTTGTTTATTATTCTACGCCCCTTTTCACTTGTATGTAGAGAGACATTAGAAAAAAATAAAAAAATTTATATAGATCAGATTCAATCTCGACAAAGTTAATTAGGTGGCATTTACATTCTACAACTTTTATAAACTTGTTTAGTTACCTATTATAATGACTTTGTTCTTTTTTAAAATTAGATCAAGATTGGTCAATTATATTATTTTTATCTTATTTACTGTGTTATTTTTTCAATTATATGTAGTCTTTTTTTAAAAATAAATTATAAGTAGCCTTTTATCAACAAATCAATAATAATGATAATCAAAATCTTAATCTTAAGTGTGAAGTCGGTTACATAAATCTAGATGTATTCGCCAATTATGATCCTCATTTCTATGAGTTATGTCCAATGCATGTTACATGCAATGGGTCTTGTACTGTTGTAATAAAGACATCGGTTCAAAGATACTTGGTATAAGTAGTTTCTTGGAGAGTTCGTTGGAGGAGACCAATTTCGAATTGGGGCCACCAACACCAACTAGCTAGGCCAGGCCACACTATTAGTCATTGCTAACCTTTTTAGGGTGCGTGAGTTGTTAGTGGAAAATTCGGGGTGCTGGCCTACTGTTGATTATTTGAGTACGATTACAAGCAACATTCCACCAAAAAAAACAAATACTGGTAATAATAGTGGTAGTCCACGTATTTAGGAGCCAAGATTACGGCAACATTGTTCATAATTATAGAAGTCCTTGCAAATAGGCTTTTGTGTTTTGGAGTTAATAGGATGACAATATTGTAAATGTTGATATATTTATGAAGTATCATTAAATAGGTAAATGATACTATTATATGGTGTAACCGTATAATGATATACACAGTATATAGTTTTCAAATGATATAAATAAATATACAGATGGCACGTTAAGTATTATACTATTTTGAGATATAATAGCATCATTGAGACAAACATATAATCTAATGGTAATCAACTTTATTATTTTCTCTCTCCTTGGCTTCGCCTTGGGGTGATTTTAATCTCTGACACAACCATAAGTATAAGTGAAGTGGTAGGATTTTATATACATCATTGAAAATTTTCATTTTTTAAGATACTTGTCTAACACTTCGTACTCACTAGGAGAGTGGATAAGAACAAGCTAATAAGTATTGCAAGACCACATAGGCTATGTGTTTACCACATCATACTAGCTAACTTGAAAAATGCTGTAACAATTAATTGATTAAGGGTGTCTTCTATTCACCCAATTTTGACTTATCTAAATTTATATTAAGGAACATATTTATTGACACAAACTTATATTATCTTATGTGAACTTATTTTAGTTGTATTTTGAAATTGGTTAACCGTTATTAAATCTTAACAAAACGAATTCTTTTGAACTAAATTGAACTTATTTATCTTGAAATTAGAGAATATAAGATGAACAAAATATACCCTAATTGATCACATAAGTTAATGTATTTTATACAAAAAATTGGCCATGTTCTTTGAGCAGAGCAGAGCAGGTGTCAGGAGAGTAGACCATAGCAGCTGAAAAGAACATGAACTAAATAAGTTTATTTCTAAATATCTTAGTTATAGATCAATGTAGATAAGGCTATGGGCGTATGGCTTTTTTCCCACCCTTTTTTATTCTTAAAAAAATTGAGGGAAGTTGAGGGTCATGCATGATTCGGTGATTCCTTGATTTCCTACCATGAAAGCAACTTGAGGGAGCTAGAAATGCAAGTTGGAGTTAATTAATTTGGCCTTATCATGACGGCGGCTAAAAAATAATTCACAAACCATATGTTATTATTATTATTATGCAAACCAAAACTATACTATATGTGGATATGCCAAAAATTTAATTCAATGTTGTTTATAAAATGGACCGTCATCATAAATATTGCTTGAGAACATATGCTATACATCATGTGTTTGTGTGGAGTAGTGCGCATATTGTTTAAAAGAATTGAATAAATAATGGTACGGTTTAGTGCATGCAATGGTCAATAATTTGCGGCGTTTGCAAATCTATTATGCTCGCTTTTGGTTTGGTTATCTACCAACTTTGCAATGTCTGGTCATCATTAAAAATAAATACGAGCAACTTGGTTTGTAATGTTTTCAAGGTAAGAGTCAAGCCGAGTGTCGGGTGAAATGTACTTATTTTACTAATTGTCTCTTTCTAAATTAAAGTACTAATGATGTTAGTGATGACTCTATTGTACCTTCAAGGTTTGAGTCAACTTCCTCTTTTTTTTTTCTTATTTTGTTGACTAGTTTTGATTTTGCGGTTTTTATGATGGCAATGTCGATTAATGCAAGTTAGCAGGCTCACATAGATGTTTTGTTTCTTCAAATTGTTTGAAATAGCTATAATATAATGTATGGTGAAATAAAACCAGATTAGATCATATATCGCTTTGATCTGGTATAATCTAATCTGGTATCCTCATTTGACCAAATTTTGACCTAATTTACACACTAATTCGTAAGATAAAAAATTATCAAATGAGATGTTATTAGATTTGTATTAATATGTAATTTCAAGATTTTCAAAATTTTTTAAATTATGAAAATAAAGTTATTCCATTTTATGATAAATAAATGTAAATAAAAAGATAAAATCTACTCTGATTATTTTTTAAATAAGTTGATACTATATCAAGTTTAAAAACGTCAATTAAACATATCTTAACTCCGTAAACAGTAATAACACCAATTTACGCGTAACTTGAGACTGTCAAAAACTTCGAGGCATAATACGCCACCTTTGGAAGCACGACCTCGTAGTGTCGCGACATTTGGCGCATAACGGATTCTCCATTCTGGGCATTGCTCTATCCCCCGCCCACTCCTTTCACTCTCAATCTAATCTTCTTCATCACTTGGACAATTTCCTATATTTATTTCTTTTACCATTATTAAATTTCAGAAATTTATTATTGAATCCAAAATTATTATTACTAGTTATGGAAATTCCTAATTGTAGTAATAATAATATTAATAATTTTTCTGCTGAAAAACCTGGTTCTGTCACAACAAAGGTCAATAATCTCAATTGCATCGATCTTTCAGACCCTGATATCAATCATTCTGTCTCTCTCCTCAAACAGGTTTTTTTCTTGATCATCATTCTGTATTAATTATTTCCCTTTTTTTTATAAAAGTGTTATGATGCTGATTTTGTTATTTTGATCACAATTTATACCTTTTAGTCTTTTAGATTAAAGCACTTTGAATATATTTAATACCCTTTACTTTTATTTGTAAATATGTTCTCTTTTTATTCATTGGTTTTCTATAACAGAGGTTTTTGTTGTTAATTTTAGGAAATTGATGGGAATTTGATTTGATTTTATTTTTTTTTATTTTTTTGAATCTGGGTGTTTTTACTAAGAGTTTCTTGTTATTGGGTTTTACTGATTAATTTGATTTAATTTGTTGGCAGGCATGTTTGGATTGTGGATTTTTCTATGTAATAAATCATGGGATAAGTCAGGAATTTATGGATGAAGTTTTTGCACAAAGCAAGAAGTTTTTTGAATTGCCAATTAATGAGAAAATGAAGCTTCTAAGAAATGAAAAACATAGAGGATATACACCAATTCTTGATGAGCTTTTAGATCCTGAACATCAAGTTCAAGGTGAGAATTTGATCACCCTTTGCTGTATATATTATAGTATGTCATTCTATATTGGTAATTTGGTATGTTATATTGATTAATTGTTGAAAACTGTACTTTATTATGCAACAATTAGCAAAATGTTAAGTTCAATTGGGTTTTGTTCTTTTTGAGTCAGGGGTATGTGCTAGAAATATGTTTGTAGGTAATGATGACCAACCCGTCATTTTAGCTTAAGTATCTGTGTTTGATACTCGACACTTGTGAATGGTTATGCCTGGATACTTCAATTCTGGACATGAATTGGAAAATCGATACTTTCGTGTTTATATGCTTGTATGATGAAGGAAAGTATCCTTGTCTATGTGTCTTGAACATAACATTGGATATTCATACTCTTGGGGCCATATCTAGACCTCATACTCATACCGGAGTCCAAGCATCACAGTGAATGGGGGTACCAGAAAATGATTGCTTAATTTTTAGTGGAGTGCCTTTTATTTAGCTTATGTAATGTTTCTAGTATTTAGTCGTTGTAGATTTCAAATAGGTATGTTATATGGAGGTCATAGCCTCAAAGGGGTGTTGAAAATTGAAATCTGATGAACTTTCTATGTGATCTCTCATTATGCAATACACTTGTACTTATTAAAGGCTGCAGACTATGTTATGCATTAGCTACATGTCACGATTTCCTGGATAATGGTATATGGGCAAGTAATTGCCCAATGTGTTAACTAGGAATTGATTGCTCAACTAATATCACAGTCGCTTTTGTACTTATTTAGATTTTGTACTTATTTTTAATGGTCTAGCTGACTAGCTGTAGGAGATTACAAGGAGGGGTATTATATCGGTGTTGAAGTGCCTGAGGATGATCCTGAAGCAGAGAAGCCGTTTTATGGGCCAAATGTTTGGCCAGCTTCAGGTAATATACTTGTATTTGATTTTATGCCTCTGTTAATATTGTGTAGAGCTTGTTTCTTTGAAATGAAAAATGTTAAAATTTAGCAGCGTGGCAAGTTGAATTATGCGTGTTAATATTGTGACTTCTCTCTGTATACTAGATCTCTTGCCTGGTTGGAGGCAAACTATGGAGAAATACCATGACCAAGCACTGTAAGTATAAGATAATATATTACTATTCTTTTGTTGTGAATCATCCTTTCTTTTCCCTTCAACGGAATATTTTGGCTCCTTATTTACATGTAAATTGCAATGTGTGCCGAAGCTGTCACAACCTCTGTCAAGCAATGGCTGGACCTATATAAATTATGCCTCTTTAGCCTTATTAGGCGTTATTATCCTTAATGCCAAGATTGCCAACTTTTAAGACTGAATGACTAGAAGAGACGTGGTTATCTTCGAATACTTAATTAAGTTTATCTGTGATATCTGTTTTATGTACAGGGAGGTAGCTAGGAGTGTTGCAAGGATTATAGCTCTAGCACTTGGTCTGGACGCGGATTTCTTTGATAAGCCAGAGATGCTAGGGAGACCTATCGCAATCTTACGCCTGTTGCATTATGAAGGTGGAAATCAAATTGCTTATTTAATTTCAGTAACTGATAACTTATTTATCATAATCAATCTTGTCAATAATCATGTTAAATTTTTGTTAGATAAAGTTACTGATACGTCAAAAGGAATTTATGGAGCTGGTGCACATTCTGATTATGGTCTGATTACACTCTTGGCCACAGATGATGTAAATGGCCTGCAAGTATGAATGGTGCTGAAATCCTGTTAGATATCACCATCATGTCTTGCTTATTATGACTTTTGTGTTGACTTCTATCCTTTTTTCCTTATCGCAGATATGCAAGGATAAGGATGCCAAACCACAGATATGGGAAGATGTACCACCTGTAAAAGGGTAAGCTTGTCCAACTCTGTAACTTGCAGAATGAAATGGATAAGTGACTAAAGGCAGGGTATCACGAGCTCGCTTTTCACATGTCCCACTTTCACATTTTTCTATCCCACCTGTTTAGTTCTGAACATTTGTCTACAGGCACATTATTATATTTTTAGTGTTTAGTGTTATGATATTAACCATTTTGCTTCTTATCTCTCAGAGCATTTATTGTGAATCTTGGTGACATGCTGGAACGCTGGAGCAACTGTGTTTTCAAGTAAAGTGCAATCTTTCTTTACTTTTTGCACGAATTTTCTGTATAAATATGCTTGATGCGTATCATGTGGTCTGATGAACTTCAGAAAATGCCGCAAACTACTAATGTATTTTAAGGATGAATGATGCCTCTCAAGTCTCAAGATTAAAATGATTCTTAAATATGGAGAGAATAGAAGTTTGTAGTCTCTATATTAAATTAATCAAACTGAGTGGGTACATAGGTATTTCATTTGATGAATAAGAACTAGTTCATGTTTGCATTTCTGTGCTGGAAAAGGGAACTTGTAATATGAATAATATCCAGGAATTCCAAAGAATCTGTGGGAAACCTCTTGTTAGCCTTCACTTTTGGGTCCTTTACTTTAAAGTCGTCTTAGGTTGTATTGATGTTTTATCATTAGAATTATCAGCTGACATTTTAAGCATTGTTGTGCTTGGTCAAAGGGTTCTTCAGGTATAAAGATGGTTTCAGAAGTATGATATTCACCCCTCCAATCTTCATTCGTTAGAACTCTATCCAACTTAGGGAGCACCTTGGCCTCTTTTTGCTGCTTGTTATTCCATATAAAGTGCCTCTCAAACTGTTCAATGGCTGACAGACCACAATATACCATACAACCCTTGAAGGATAACACCTCATTTCTCCTTACAATTTTCCCTAGACTATCCTTAGGGTCTTGCATTGTATTAAAATCACTGAGGACAAACCATGCGCTAGATTATATCTTCAATTTGTTGTAAGTTTTCCCATAATGTGTCTCTATAACTTGTTTCATAAGATGCATAAACTCAGGTGCACCTAAGTTCCTTACCCTTCACTATAGGATAACCTTACAGTGTATAAGCTGGCGTGTGGCATGTGCACAAAGTACTTTTAGAAAAAAACATTTGGATACCAAATCGAATATCCCTCCACCACCTTGAAAACAAAAGGTTAGATGTTATACACCAACCTGGACAAAGATTTAGGTACAAGGCCCCAAGAGCATGAGCCTCGACCTTTGTTTCAAAGAGACCTAACAACCTAATGTTTTGAGCATGAACTTAATTCTTTCCCTTCAAATTCCAACTAAGGCTGTCCATGATGGCTAGTAGCAGCCAGCACCTCACAATTTTCAAGTGTACGTTCAATTCATTCCCATATCATTATTATCTTCTTTAAGATCTATCTCATCATCTACTTTCAGAGCATCAGAAGTTTTCCTAATCACTTCAGGAGTAATCAGTTATTCTTGGCTACATGACTTATTCATGACAGTAATCAGTTATGGAGTATTTGATTATTTTCACCTGTCATGAATGTTTTTGTTGTATGGCATTGTTAGCATTTTGTTCTCTTGAATATATTTTTCTACATGCTATAAAACTTGCTTTCCTTTTACCCCAGCAGGATTGTTCTTCTACTTGTCATCGCTCCCTTAAATTTTGCCATCTAATTAACTTCAGTTTGTTTGTAACCTGCAGATCCACCTTGCACAGGGTTATCGGATATGGGCAACATAGATACTCTGTAAGGCCCTTCACAGCTCTCCTTTCCCAATTCCTCATCCCCTTTTCTGGGACTTAGTTCTTTTGTTATATAGTAGTATCACTACATCTGTATATGTTAATATCATAACCCATTACTTGTGAGCCTTATTTCGTCTTACAGTTCTATGCCACTTTTCTTGCTTGCAGATAGCCTATTTTGTGGAGCCTAGTCATGAATGTCTTGTTGAATGTTTGCCAACCTGCAAATCAGAAACTAACCCTCCCAAGTAAGTTTTTTTTATGGCCTTGTGTTTGCACTTTAGTCATTTCACTAATTCACAGAATAATAAATAGCAAAATTTGAAGATTTGTTGTTAACTACTTCCTCTCATTCTGTCATTATTCACTATCTCCCACCCAACAGGTTTCCTCCAGTTCGATGTAGTACATACCTGAGCCAGCGCTACATGGATACTCATACTGATGTGAGCACTTACAAGAAATCGTAATATCTGGGCCAATCGAGCTGATATGAGAAGAACTTGATGTGGGGGCATTTAGTCTATTCTACGAAAGTCCTGCACAATCTATCAAGAATAGAAGATGCTAGGCTCATCCTTGGGTAATAAAACTATGTTATTGTTACTATTGACAACTACACAAGCTTACATAGAAGTAATTTTACTAGTTTGTTTACTAAATTATCATTTATTGTACCGCGCAAATCATTTCTATAGTCCATTTACTTGTATTGCAACCAAACATTGCATTTTATACTTGATGATAAACTTACTAGCTTTCGGGAGGATGTTATGTTGGCTGAAATTTCCCCTATAGTATCCTCGCTTTGGCTGTACTAGACATATGTTAATAAAATTTCTCAGAGGTGTTTAAGGTAATAAGGGGAGACTTGCTGGTGTATTTTAATTTTGCTTTCGTGTAACATGCATAGCTTTTAAAGTACTATCTATCAAAGTATCATTAATATATCTGTGCATATTTAATTATTTACGAGTCTTACTTTAGCTGTTAAATTACGAAATTTATGTACTAATATAAAAGAACAATATTAATGTGACTATACTTATTGCACATCAGAAAATAATATACTAGTAGAAACTTCCATGGCAGTGTAACTAATAATATTTGATAGTTACTTGGAAGTGAAAATTTTATTCCAAATATGAAGAGTTTTACGCACACAAGCCACAACATAAAGTTATAAGTTATAGTCTTTCTGTTTCAAATTTACTGTCACATTAAAAGTGAGGGATAAATCAAGTGGTTAGAGGTTCCTCTCCAATTATAAGAGATCCTGAGATCGATTTTCATCATTCGTCTGCTCATGTGGCTCTCTAAACACCAAAAATTCACATTGAAATAATACAACAAAATTTTAAACGACCGATTTTTTTTTCTTATAATCTAATGACAATTTACAATCAAAATTTGCAAAGGTCTAGCCTTAAAAATGGTTTTGTGGCAAACTAAAATGGAAGGAACTTGTTAAATTGATATTTACAAAGTAGTATTGCTATACTTAAAAAGTTAAAGTTTTGAACAAAAATAAAGACATTACACTAAATGACATCTATACTGTATTATTGTATGATTACCTTTTATTAATACTTCGTACAAGTTAGAGAGAGGAGCACGTTATCTAATGTTTTTAGGCTTTATTTTTTTTTTATGTCTGTCATGTATATTTTGAAGATAAAATCTACACAAATCTAACAATTCCACATGACTACATAGCCATCTTTTCATATATGTAAACAATAAAAGACGATCAAATAAAATAAATAAACAATGTTAAAAGTCCAAACATGTTTGCATGGAATAAAAAAAAATACGTAGTAGTAGGTATAATATATATCAAAATTTGAAATGGATATAAATTCAACAAAAACCGACCTTAGCTCAGTTGGCAGAGCGGAAGACTGTAGTTGTACGCAGATAATCTTTAGGTCGCTGGTTCGATTCCGGCAGGTCGGATTTTTTTTATTTTTACCACCTTTATAATTTTAAAGAAGTATAAATATGATATCTCAGTCACATTAATCATTAACCGACCTTAGCTCAGTTGGCAGAGCGGAAGACTGTAGTTGTATTCAGATAATCTTTAGGTCGCTGGTTCGATTCCGGCAGGTCGGATTTTTTATTTTTTTTTAATAATCGAATCAGATTTCTCTCTCATTTCCTTAGGCGGTTTGGGGCTTTCGGTTGAATGTCCTGGCCTTGAATAACGTTGACCATTGATTATCTTTGAATCTTATGATTACATTGCTAGATCTTCATATCTTTTGTTTAGATGATGATTTGAGCTCTTGACTCAATGTTATTTTAAAGTAGTTGAACTGAAATGAAGCGAAGTTTAAGATAATGTCAATTTTATGTTGGTTGATTTTGACACCTACTAGGTTATAGATCTTTTAGCCTACAGTTATCTGTAAATTTTCCAGTATTGGTTTAGTTCCTGATATATGATATATTGGGAGTAGGATCATATTGTGCTGATTCTGCTTCCTATTTTTATAATGTCAGACTATTTCAACAATCCTTGAATCATGGATCAACCGTAGTCAATTTGACAGTTTGTGAAGTGGGATACTGTAATTGGTGTAAAGATTATCCTCAGCCCTCAGGTTCCTAGCTCTAGTACAGTAGGTTGGATTTTGACTTCTTCCTTGTTCTTTTAACATGAATTTTGTTACACTTTATTGTTGATGTATAGAAAAAAGATTTAGACATTAGAATAGATTCTCCCTTGTAATGGAAGATGTGATGTTGTCTATGGAATTGCAACCTTCATTATAAATGAACTGGCCTTAGCTCAGTTGTTATACCAGAGGACTTCTGTTGGTCATTAACCCACTGATAAACCTTAGGTAGCAGTTTCAAATCTTATAGATCAGATTTCAGTTGCTTCTGTTATTTGTCTAGCTTTTAGGGAATGCTTGCTCTCTATCTTGATTTCACTGGGCATGTCTCAACCAAATTTGCTGAATATTATTTCTGAGTCAGATGAACAAAGATCAGAATATAATGGAAACCACTATTAGAGAATACCTTAGCCCATTTGGTGAATTGGAAGACTCAAGTTGGTCAAACAGATAGTCATTATCCTTATGTAGCTGGTTTGAATCTGGCAGGTTGGACCTTTGGCCTCTTGCAACTAATTTTTTTTTTTTCTTCCTATGGGTAAGTCTTCTTTTTGGAATAAAAGGACTTTGGCATAGCACATTGCTGCCATGTCTTAAACAGCGGTAAAAACTATGTTCCAGCCATTAGGAAGAGCATTTCAAACTGATGAATTTCAAGCATGAGTTACAAGATCGGCCTTAGCTGTTAAAGCAGAGTACTATAGTTTGTTCATCTATATCCTCAAATACAAGATTTGTGGCTATCTAACCAATTGATATATGTTTTGTCATCAAGATTTTTTCATGCTTTAATGGTGATATGGTGATATGTTATAGACCCAATGTCTACCACCACGGAGCCAATAAGGAACACAGTAGCACACTAGCACTAGAGGACAAAAGCAATTAAGAAAGCACTAAGGAGAGGGGGAGCATGGGACTGATTCCTGATTCTGTATCGCAGCAGTAGAGGACAAGAACAATTAATATTAGGTTAATGTTTTGAAATGTGGCTTTAGTATATATAGTGTAGTAGTGAAGGCAGTAGGGGATTATGTGAATGTGAGGAAATATGTTGAGAGTAGTAACCTCAAGTTACTAGGAGAGTGATAACCTAAAGTTATCAAGGATAGTAATATCCTAAAGCTATTAACCTATCACTTTTGTATCAAATTCTGCCATTATCAATCAAGATTCCAAGCTTTCATCTTATTATCCATTTAATATACAAATCAGATTACCAGTCTATTACATGATATTGATGCCGTGATTATGTTTTCAAACTCGGTTTTCTTTTATATGGTTTAGAAACTTTCTGCAATATCTTATTTTTCTTACTATTCAGAAGCGGCTTGCAGATGCAATATGGTGTTTCAGTAATGAATAATTTGACATCCCCCTCTTTAACAAAAAGGGGTCTGAGTATAGTGGATTTTCAACATTCACAGTGCAATAACCGACCTTAGCTCAGTTGGTAGAGCAGATAATCCTTAGGTCGCTGGTTCGACTCCGGCAGGTCGGATATTTTGCTTCTTATGTTGTTTTGCTTTCTCGCCTTGCTTGAAGCTTGATTATGAATTTTGAAAAGAAAATTTCATGAGAATTTTGGACATTGCTTTTCTAAAATAAATATTGAATGCTCTCGTTGAGAGTCGAACTCAAGACCTCCCGCTTACTAAACGGGTGCTCTAACCAACTGAGCTACGAGAGCAGTTATATTACTTTTTTTCTTTTGAATGTCGTTGACCTTGCAATGTTGTCTTGTTGTGATTCCCTGCCTACGTATGTGTTTCTGTAATCTGCTAGAGTGGTCTATTAAAGGTGAGACTTCTTTGTGTGATCTCTGAAAGATGCCATTTACATAGAGCTCTAATCGAAAGCAGAGTCCAGTCTTAAAAACTTTAGTATATTGGAGCTAGAGGACAGCAACGAGGCAAGCCTTGCTCAGTACTTTGTAGAGTGCAAGACTGTATTTGGCCGGCATAGATTATTACTTTTATCTCAATTCCAGGGATTGACTTGATTGTTTTCATGTTGACAAGTTGGATTTCTGAACCAAGTCAACCAACTTTAATATAGAATGTGATTTTCTTTTGCAGCCTTGACCTTAGTACAGTTGTTAGAACGAAAGGCTGCAATTGCTTATGCGGTTATGCCCACAGTGATGCTTAGGTAATTCAATCTAATCTTGCAGACCATAAATTTTTTTTCTTTCTATGAGATCCCCTTCCTTTTCGTTTCCTTTTGAGTTCTTATTACACTTTGACCTTGAGAAATCTGGTGACAGAAATTACATTGGCTGATGGTGTTTCTTTCTTTCTTTTATATTTTTCCTGCTTTTTTTTTACTTCTCAGAATTCTCTGTCTTCAGATTTGATAGTCATTGCTTCTTTCTCATGTTTTATAATCTTATATACAGTCTGCAGTAGGTATAGAAAGCAGGTTTGATTAGGAAAACTACTTGGTCACAAGATGTGGAATGACTGCAATGGAATCACAATTTATGCCAAAAAATCTGCTATGAACTAGCTGTTGACAGTCTTGACACCATTGTGCTGTGGATTAGTGTCTTTGTATACCTCTTGGCTGATGGCTTGGCACACATTCCATGAATGGTGAAGTAAGTTTTAAAAAAATAAAAACGATTTCTTTCTGAGATGAAATTTGCAAGGGATACTGGGATATATCAGTTTTAACACTCTGACTATCTAACTCAGGAGGTGACAATATAACTTATTATTCTATTCTTGCAATGGTGTCGTGGTGTAGTTGGTTATCACGTCAGTCTAACACACTGAAGGTCTCCGGTTCGAGTCCGGGCGACGCCAATTTTCATTACTTGTTCTTTCTGAATAAATATGTTTTTGACTGAAGGTATGTGATACATGCTCAGCTGAGTTTGTTAAGCTTTTTCTTAAACCTGTGCAAGTTATGAAATTACTCATTTAGAGACTGCTGCTTGTGTATTATTAAATTTATATGAACTGCTTAGGTGGATATGTAATTCTTTATCTACTTATTATTGTTGTTAATGAAATTCTATGGTAATGCCACATAATTTTTGTGTGTTTCTTGTCAAATGGTGTCGTGGTGTAGTTGGTTATCACGTCAGTCTAACACACTGAAGGTCTCCGGTTTGAGTCCGGGCGACGCCATTCTCCTTTTTACTTCTGCATTCATGTTTATTAACATTTTTTTTATCTGCAAGTCCTGTGTACAGTTGGTATCGCATCAGACTGTGATTACTTATTGACTTATAC